GGGGCCCGCGGGGCAGCACAAGCCTCAGCAGGTGCAGCCTTGCTCCCTCTTTTCGGCATCCTTCCCTCTCTCCCCCGCCACCTCCAGCTGAGCAGACCCAGAGGGCTGCTGCCCTCAGGTGAAAGCCCTCCCCACCCTCCGATGCATCCCTCCATGGCTGCCGCTTGCTGGCCTGCAGTCTGCCAAGCCAGGGAGTAGCCAATCCATGGCGTAGCCAATCCATGGCGTAACTCCTCCCAGCGCAGGACGCAATCATGTGATTTTTATGACTGCTCTCTAGAACCGTGTTTGCTCTGCTCCCGGCCACCATTGCTTCCTCCTTAGCGTCCTTCCCTGCCACTGCAGCTCCTTGCCGGCGGTGCTGGGGACCGGGTTTTGGGGAGCAATGACGGAAGTTAAGAGAGAGGTGTTCGGGCAGATGCCCCGGGAGGAAGGAGGAGGAGTGGTGGAAAAGTTCGTGTTAAAGTCAGACAGCGTGAAAGTGGAGATCCTGTCCTTAGGGTGCATAATCGCCGCTCTGGAGACGAAAGGCAGGGATGGGGAATTTTCAGATGTTGTCCTAGGCTTTGACACTTTGGAAGGTGGGTCTAAATCTATTTCTTTAAAAAAAAAAAATTTTTTTTAAATCAGGCAATTTAACCAGTGTTTTCTGGTTTATTGGCACACTGCATGATTTGCTTCTAAGGGTCCCCTCCAGATCATGGGCTGAATAAATACAGCTCCAGCTACTTGTCCTGGGCTCAGTGGTGGACAGGGAATGGGGACACTGGTGGCCTCAGGTCACAGTGTGCCCCTCTAGCAGGGCAGCTCCGTGTCACGCTTTGGCAGTGACAGAGGCCTTTTCTGGAAATCTGCAAAGACTACAAGATCCTATCAGGCTGTTTTAATCAAAGGTGTGCATGACTAGCAAGCTGTGTGCCCTGTGAAACACTAGGACCGCAGTCACCTATTTAGTACTGGGGGGAAGCAGAGAGAAACACCCCTGAGTCCATAAGCACACCTAGAGACCACCTATCCTGTCCCAATCTTTCTCTTTAACCGTGCGATGTTTTTCTGGCCAGGTTACACGAGGAAGCACCCCTTCTTCGGTGCTGTTGTGGGGCGTGTTGCCAACAGGATTGCGAAGGGGAGGTTCACCGTGGATGGCAAGGAGTATCAGCTGTTCCTCAACAATGGGCCCAACAGCCTGCATGGAGGAGCCAGGGGATTTGACAAGGTGAAAATCAGGCTGGGGGGAGGGGGTGTCCCCCCAGTGTCCTCTGGCACACAGCCTGTGGGATTGTGGCAATGGGATATGATGTCTTCACTCCCAACCCTGCAGGGCTTTCTGGTAGTTATTGAGTTGAATCAGCTCCCAGAAAGTGGTGTGAGTGCAGGACTGGAGGGAAGCAAGACCCTGTGAGCTTCTGGGTTGGCTTGTCTTTGCCCAGGTGGCTTGGCAGAGCTCACTTGTGCATTCTTGGATGCCATGCAGAGGGTTGCTGTGCTTCCTCTGCGTTACTGCAGCCCTGAGGCCTTGTGAGCTCAATTCTGACGGGGTTGTCCTGGCACGAGATGCTGTTCCCAGAGAGCATGGGTTGGGACATGGTGGTGAGGGCCCAGCCTCGTGCACAATGGAGGGTCCTGAGGCACCAGCCGCACCGTCCTGGAGGAGGTGCTGTAGCCCCTGCAGTGCCCAAAGGCAGTTTCCCGGGGAACAGTGATCCATGCAGACTCACTTGCGCCTGAGGCTTCAAGGCTGTTACCTGCCCATAGCTCCTCCCAGAGTCAGGAAGTCCTGGGTTTGCAGAAAGTGAGTATCACTGCTGCTTGCTTTTGACAGCGCTCCCAAATACAGGGACAGCAGGGCGGTGTGAGTTCAAGTGTGGTTATTGCATTACCCCCTTCAGTGCCATTTTCATCCCAGTGACAGCATAACCCGGGCTCTTGCTCTGACTCACAGCAGTAGGTGACTAGATCAGGCCTGCAAAATGCCCCAGCATCACTGTGTCCCCTCCCCAGCCCTTTTCTGTGACCTTTTCCTGACCACAGGGCACTCATCCCTTCCTATCTTCTTCCAAGAGCTGCTGCTGAAGTCCAGATACCATCAATGCCCTACAAAGAGCAGCGGAGCATCTCCTCTCTTGAAAGCCTTGCTGATAACCCTGCTGATTGCACAGCAGGCTCAAAAGTCTCTGCTTTCCTGAAGCCTTGGGCTTTGTTGGATCAAATGCATTTGTAACCAGCAAGTAGCTGATCCACTGTTTCCCCAGAGAAACTCATATTCACGTGCTGGTGCAGCTGCTTTCCTGGGTTAATCATTTGTTTCATGAAAGGACATCCAGGCTGATGGGGCAAAAGTCAGAGTGTCTGGAAAAAAGCTCACTTCTGCGCAGCGTGGACTGGCATCAGATTGGGATCAAATGCTCCTCAGCAGCCTTAGAAAAAAAGGGAGTACTGGAGTGACTTGACTGTTGTACCCCCAAAGAGGACAATTTAGTTTCTGTATATGCCCTGACCCCCTGCGAGGTGGAGCTGGAAACTCCTTTGCATCCAGGGCTTCCAGGCTGTCTTCTGCAGATGGGGAACGTGGTCTCTTCTCCTGCCTCTTCTCCTTGCTTGCTGAAGGCATCTCAACTTGGTGGGCACAAGGCAGCAACACCTCCCAACCAGGACTTTGTGTCCTCCGGCCCACAGGGCACGCTTGGGCACCTGCTCAAGACCCCCTCTAGCCAGGTAATAGTCACTGTGCAGAGACCTATGGTCAGCTCTAACAAAAACGAGACATGCTGGCTCCTCGCTGTGACTATCTTGGCCATTTTGTCAGTTTTTCCTGATCTTGCAGACCTCGGTGCTGCAGTCAGAGCATGATCTGATGACAAGGAAGCTTGCAACCATGCTTATGTGGTGGCAATATCTGACCACACTGCTGGGAGACTGGGGGACTTCGGAAAATAACCCTCTTAGCTTTAAAAAACAGTGATATCTGTGTGCTTACTGGCCTTTAAAAGCTTTTTCTTCCAAGAACTTAAATAGAAACTCACTTATAAAACCACAGCGTTCCACAGCAGCGGGAGCTGCAGTTGAACTGCGCTCTGTGCAGGAGGACCTGCTCTGCAGCCTGGTTATCACATGTGACACTCTCAGTTCCTGTGTTTGGTGAAAATGTTGGCTTTTGACAAGTGCCCCAAGTTTGTAATCTCTGCATGGGACATGAAAGGGGTCATGTCAAAAGCATTGTTTGGCCCCTGCCCCTAGATCTGTCCTCTTTGGTTAGATAGTAACTATTCCTAAGGCGCTCCAGAGACTGGGCACCTCACCTCTTGTTGCACATCCATCCTCAAAGGTGCTGAGACATCTGCTTAGCATTGGGTCCACAGCCAGGGTCAAACAGGCTGTCTGGGCAGCTAAACTTACAGTGTGCTGGCTTGCTTCGCTCACCAGCAGGTTCAGCTCCAAACAGAGCCCTGGTCTCTGGCAGGGGCAAGAAATGGGGAGGTCCCAGTTCTCTGGATCAGCACTGATGTGTGGATGTATCTGGCGATACATCTGGTACTAGTTAACCCAACCTCAGCCCCTAAGCAGGAGCTCCCAGGGTGTATTTACATTGTCCTAGAAGCCAGCCCCAAGTTAGCTGAGGGAAGGGCAGCAGCTTGTTGAGGTGATGTTGCACACCAGGAGATCCATGGGAAGGGGAATAAGTCCAGCAGCAGGGCAAAAATCAAACATGTGGCCCCTCTAGGTACGGAGTAACACAGGCAGGGACAGACCCTCATCAGCAAACTGCCTTGTTTGTTTGGCTGCTCATTGGAAAACTTGTTCCCTGCTGCTGGTCCTGACTGACCAAGAGCAGGCTGGTGCTTGTGTTTTCTCCCACTTCTCTTTTTCTTTTTGAAAAAGGAGATATTGGGTTTTAGTCCTTCATAGGGAGAAAAGGATCGTTTGGGCTCTTTTTTTTCTTTTTCTTCTAGGAGTAAGAGCAGGAAACATGATTGAAAAAAGCTTTGTTTCAGTGTGTCATTCCTTGAGTACCTTTTGTCCCTGGGTTCAGCCCAGCTGGGGGCAGGACAGAAGGGCACCATGTTTTCCATGACTGTCCCACCAACAGCACACTCCTTGCAGGTTCTCTGGAGCCCCCAGGTCCTCCCGAATGGTGTCTGCTTCTTCCGGCTCAGCCCCGATGGTGAGGAAGGCTACCCTGGTGACCTGAAAGTCTGGGTGACCTACACACTCAATGGCGGGGAGCTGGCCATCAACTATCGAGCCCAGACTAGCAAGACGACCCCCGTCAACCTGACAAACCATGCATACTTCAACCTCGCAGGGCAGGTAAGCATGGGATGATGAACCCCGTGGAAGGACATTGTGCAGGGGAAGAAAGTCTGGGGACCTATGGGATGATCCACAGGATCATTGGGACCAACATGCTGGTCTGAGGACACAGTGTGCTTCTGGGGACACAACGATGGGGCTTGCCTCTGCATCATGGGCTATGTGCAGGGACAGGACTGAATCACATAGACCTCAACTGAGGATGCATTATCCCAGTGTGTCATGAACAGAGACATCCCATCATGAATATTAACTCTCCTTTTGTGTGTAACTGTTTCAGGGGACTTTCAGTCTCTCCTGATCCCTTGGGAAGATTACAGAGGAGGTGCAGAACTGGCATGCCCTAATGATGGAGTAGCATTTCTTAGCTGTCTTCTGTGACAACACACTGAACCCTTGTGTGGATGGTGCAGCAGAGTTCAGGGCCTGTAGTGCCAGCCAGTGTCAGTGCAGCACCGAAATACCCAGGCCAAAATGGGGAGGTGAAACATCATGGAAAGGGGATGTGAGGTGGCCAAGGTTGCAGAGTGGGGCAGTAGCAAGATGCAGAGGGCTCCCACACACCAGTCCAGGATTCTGCCAGCTAGGGAACTGTATTGCAGCTGTGTTTTAGTCTCACCCTGTTGATAACTGGGCTTGGAGGCAAAGGATCTGGGAAATAAAAGGTTGCTGGTCCGAGCAATAGGATGGGACAGTGCAGTCACACTTGGATGTGAGACAAAGACCCTTAAAACTGTTAGTGAGAGACATCCCAGCCCCTCCATGCAGGAGGTCTGCTCAGGCTGATGCCCTAATAAAGGCTGTGCAGTTGTTAGTTTATCCTCCATTGTTTCTCCCAGCAGTACAGTAATATCAACACCTACAGCATGCAACTCAGGTGTATTTCCAGAGGAACAGGAGACCGTTGGGCATGAAATTGCTGCTCAGATTAGACAGTCATGTGCAGGCTCAACTTTGATCCTGCTCCTCTTCCAGCTCAGCAGGTTCCCTGCCAGCATCCCCGAGGCTGCGGGAGAGGAAGAGGAGTGCAACCCCCCCGCACTGCAGGAGATGAGCCAGGAGGATGGGTTGTGCTTCCCCACACTTGCTTCCTTCCCCTTTTGCCTGCTGCTGTGTTCTCAGCACCCAGCATGTTTTGGCTAGTTGATCTGCAGGGTGGTAGTGGTTGATGAGGTACAAGTTCAGACTGATAGTCTCAGCCCTGCAGGATTTACAGCTCCAAAGTTCCATGCCGGTTTTTGCCTGTGCTGGTACCTTTGTCCTGTGTCCAGGGTCAAGGTGGGATGACAGCCAGGAGGTCCCCCAGGCACTACCAGATCAGTTGTATTACCACCATGGGCAGTGACTTCCTGGATGTGCTTAGGGCTGCTTGAATGGTGGAAGGCCCACAGCCGGAATCCCAGTATTTCCCATCCTCCTGCAGGGCTCACGGGATATCTACGACCACGAGATTTCTATTGAAGCAGATTCCTACCTGCCTGTGGACAACACCAAGATCCCAACTGGTGGGTGGTGCGACACCCGCGGCAAATGGTGGGGACGGTTTTACAGATGAGTGTTTGTGGGTATTGGGGAACAGCACTGTTTGGCAAGGGGGACACACCAGGACCCAAGAGACCCCAAGCGCAGCAGGACCTTCACCCATGGGGACAGTCACACAGCACCTGAGCAGAGTGGGCAGAGCCAGGTGCTGGTAACAGGGTCCATCACTAGCCCGAGACCTGGAGAGGGGGTGGGCCAAGAGGGGGTGGTCTGTCCAGGGGGTGCAGGCAGGAGCAGCAGGAGATGGGGCCAGAGGCAAGTGGGATGTGAGGCTGCAACATGGGTCCAAGGGGCCCATCCAGGGGACAAGCTACCTATGACACAGGAACAAAGCATGTCCATCCAGGCCTGTTTGGCCAGCATTTCCCTGCAGGTCAATCCATTGTTCCCAGGGCCAGTGGGGCCATCATAGAGGGTCACTCAGAACTTTAAGAGCTGGGATTGGCCTGGGATTTGCCTGATTTGCTTCCTCCAGCAGTGTTCAGCTTTATCACACTTCTCTACTGGGATTTTTCACATGATATCAAAGTCTTACTTCCACAGATCTTATTTCCATAAGATCAGCCCATGCTCAAAGTCCACAGAAAGCAGGAGAATTAATTTCTTAAGCCTCAGTAAAATATGGGAGATGCAAGCAGCATGCTCCAGGCGCAGGGCTGCTGTTGATAAATGCAATGGCACAATGGGACATGGTCAGACTCCCTGATCTGGAGGGCAGCTCCCAGGCCCAGCACTGAGCTCTAGAGCTGCTGGGATCTCTGGTGCTCAGGAGCCCAGCATAGTCCTTCCCTGCGAGAGCTGAGCCAGCAGTCCCCTCATTGGGGTGGGAGAGCTGGCACTACTGGCTGGGAGGCTGAAGACACAAAACCAACACTTTTCTTTCCTGTCTTTAATGTCCTGCAGGGCTGAAAGAGGAAAACCAGTTAAGGAAAACAGCATGTTTAGCATGCTAAGCAGGTTAATTAAACAAAGGTGGTATTGCTGCTGTCTCCAGCCTCAACATGGAGAAGAGAGCTGGCAACCTCTTGCACCCAGTCTTGATTCAGGGGGTAAAAATGAGAAAACAGGGCTTTCTGGGTTTTTTTTGGTTTTCTTGGGTTTTTTTTTCCCACCACTTCCACTCTGTTCCTCCCCATAAACAATCGAACAGCTAAGTTAAATAATCGGAACAAGCTGGGACAGGGAACACGTTCCCCGTACCTGCAGGAGAGCCAGCACCTGACATGCACTTGACAATGGTCCCACTGCTAACAAGGGGGCACCTTGCTTTGTGAGGCTTGGCTCCAACCCTCCCACCACACTGCTCCAGCACCCACTTTTCATTTAGCATAAGCGACTGTGCTGAGTTGCAGTAAGAGTTGATCTAATTGCAAAATGAATCTGATACCAAGTTTTATTGTTTTTAAGAATGAAAAGCATTACTTAAAAAAACCCAAACCTGCATTTGGCCTATTTTTTGAAAAATCTAAAATAGATTAAAATAATCAAAATAATAATCAAAAAAGCAGACTTCCAGACTTGCTCCTAAATGACGGCTTTTCATCCAGCCCGACTGGCTTAGAGGAGTGGAAGCTGTCAGAGTGCAGATGCTGAGACATGGCGGGCAAGGGCGATGGGACGGTGCTGTGCCATGCTGGAGGTCCCTGGAAGACAGAGTAGTGAC